TAACAATTTAACTTTGCGTCTGTTTCCCACAACCAAAACAAAAGTCCGTCATTATCTCTGGAAATTACTCTGATTTTTTTTTCCATTTTAAGTCGATTTTCAGATCCTGAGAGGTAACAGATGGGAGTTTAAAGTATTCATTGGTTTTAGATATGAGTGAATGGGTGCTCCAGCGGGTAATTAGACTCGATTTTCAAAAGCAGATGCCATGAGATAACCGGATCGTCCGTCATAACGTCAAATTTACAATGATATATTTTGATGATTTAAATACGGATGGTGAATAAATATCTAGGTTTCATGTGAAGTATACTTAGAGACTGGTTTATAAGTGGCTTTATGATATGTCTTTAAAATTTTGGCAGTTAAACACTGAAGTTTATGTGATTATTGGCAAATTATTCTATGTCAGTTTGAAGTGAAAGCTTAATTCATATACAGTTTTGGTCATTTTTGTTTGTTTCACACAGCTGTCCAACCTTGCAATTATTATATATTGTTTCAGTTATTCATGGTTTAATATGTGTGAATCATATGTTGGTTTCCATTGCAAATGCCTGCCTCAGGAAATAAGTGAAAGTATTGTTAATTGTTTACATAGAGACTGCATCCCTCTGAGACTAAGCAACAATTACACTAACCAAGAATACTCCTAGAAATATCACCGCATGAACCCAAATCTCTCATACCCCAAGATCTCCGCCACTGCATCCCCACCGCATCCCCACCAAATCACATATCCCTACTTGGGGCTCCCCCTCTCTCACTCTGTCACCTCGGAATTAGTCTCCTTGTGTATTTGTTGTGACCTGTTGTCTTTATTTCTGACATTATCTGGCCTGCATAAGTTATTTCAAGTGTTAATGAGTCTCTGTATGGCAGTGTTATTAGATTTTCCCTGTCTTTGAGCATTCGTTATGTGGATGTATATTAAGATATTCTGTGTTGTGCAACTTTCTTATTATAAACTTGTGAAGGAAATGTCATTGATGAAAAGTCTTGAGTTTTGTTATTCTATCCATTACAGGTGAAGTTTACCTTGAACCATATAATGTTTGAAACCATACCATATCTTTATTTACAGAAATTACAGAGTTACAAAACACATTTATGTTTCATCTCAGTATTTGATAATTCCCAAATGAAGTTGCAGAAGACCATACTGTCTCTTTTCATAAATCGTAAATGTTCAGAAGACCTATAAGCACATCATATATTTTTAGCAATTATGTCCTAGACCCCCTCCCCCCTATAGCCTACAAATTTGACCCAAATAGTAAGGGAGGGCATGAAAGAAATTGTGTGGGAAAATATGAAAGAAATAAACAAAGTAGGTTACTAAATCATCTAATGCAAGGAATCAAGTGAACTGTTCCTGTAGTAAATACATTATATTGTGCATTATGCATGGGACTGCAGCCAAAGCACACTATCCTGTATTAAGTAGTACTTGGGGCACAGCCCTCCACATCGACAAAAGGACTGACACAATCTGCCAGGAAGACATACTGAAACTGTGTAGTTCTGGAGACGTGATGGTGCCACTGACCTCAGTAAAGGAAACAGGAACAGACAAAAATAGAAATACTGTGCAGAGAATACTAGTATATGACACTAGATAACATTTATTAACTTAATATCTTTATGTGATTCATGCTCTGTCTGTAGTGCCATTTATTCAGTGGACGGAGCAGTATAAGGGGAAATTTCTTCTCATGTGTCTTGTCCTAGGGCTCCATCTTATTTTGAATACTTGAAGAATTATTTGTGTTCCAGGGCTATGATTAGAGGGGTCATAGGGGTTTCAGCCCCCTTCATTAGATATTATAGGGTGTACAGATAGTTTTCCATTGTATTTTACTTTGCATGTATTGGTTATAGGCTCCATCCTACTGTGAATTCATGGAGGATTCTTTGTTTTTCAAAGTTGGGGGGTGGTACCCCTAAGATATCCTTGGTATTCCTCATGCCCTTTCTTACTTTCAGGATCAAGTTTGTTGAGTATGGGGTTTCCATGGTATATTTCCTATATATATGAGTAGTAGAGGGTGAGAGGAATCTATTGGTACCACTATCGATGTGACTTGGTGTCTTTTTAATAATTATTGAGACAAATTATAGTGAATATTTGACCAATATGTTTTTTCTGTTTTACATAGATAAATTTCAGTGAAGGAACATATCTGCATCATTCTTCATACTCTGTATGTCATAATTTTTGGAAGAAGTTTAATGTTAAAAGATGTTTTTCTATAAGAATAGGGGATTTTGGAGACAAGAAACAAAGAACAAAAAGCAATAAATACTTACAAGATACCCACACTGGCTTTCAGATATAAGATCATTTATCATTTATATATTAGTTGTATTCAATTCATATCCACTTAACACTCATTATAATCTGTGATGGATGGCTTACAGTTGTATGTCCAGCCTGATATGGAAAGTCAAGGAGATGCGTTAGCTTTTGTGTTTTCATTCCTCTGGCAGAGGTCAATAAATCTTCATTACACATATTATGCTAAGAATATCCTTGACTGTTTTATTTTTTAATGATAAATCACCAGGGTTTTCTAAAAGCTTTTTATTGCCAGAATATATATGGTGAAAGTTTCTAGGCATTTGTTGGAGCATTGAAGTTGCAGAGGCCAGAGCCAGATGAGTGGTGTCTAGCCCAGTGGCAGATGAGTGGGTGTCTTACATGCATTTATCAAAAACAAACTGAAAATATACACAATATTTATAATTTTAAAATAATACAAATGTGTATAAGAAGTAGGGATGTAATTACACAAGTGCTTAACCAGTAAGGTAGTATGAAAAGGCAGTTTTTGAGAAGGACATATCTTGCATGTATCACCAAGAATATATTAATTGAATTTATATACACAACTTTTGAAAGTATACAAGCTGCAATAGATATTAAAGGATTTAGTGAATATGTAAGAATGGGTAAGTATTACAGAAGAATAAAAAGATTATAGAGTGAAGTGTTTACTATTTTAAAAAGTTTTCTTGTGATGAGCATTTGAAGTGTTCAGAGGAATGTGAGAATGTTGATGGAGGAAGAAGCTTTCAGAATTTTCTTCTGGAGCTTTGATTTACTATAGTTTTTTGTATTGACTTTAGTTGTTTTGGTCTACATTTTCCTAGTCTGCTATATGATATAGTATCTTGTTTTATAATTTTTCACTTTCTTTTTCTGTGTCTCTTTTAGGACCATGAAATGTTCATGATAAATGTAACTTTAAATGTTAGAGATTTTGCTTTAAGTAGTGACTGTAGGAAATATATCTTTGAATATTTAATTTTATGTTTCAGGTGAACACAATTGCTAAGCAAGATTTAAGTGGAAGTTACAACGATATTAAAGTTTATGCCGGTAGGTACATGATATATTTTAATTCTAGTTATTAGATATAAATACATTAGATATGAAATACATATATATACTTGATTATATGAATTTTCTCTTTTGTCAATGGCAGTTATCAAGTTATTTCACTCTAACCAGAATTATGCTTAATGTGTTTCTTATATGTATCAAGAATACCCATGTCTCACCCACTTAGAAATCTAATCCATTCTTTTATAGACAATCTAATATATGGTTCTTTATCTTAAATCTAGAATCATCAAAATAAATATCAAGAGCAAAATTTGAATACAAATACAAAACTAACCAAGCATAGGGTGCCATGGAAACATGATCTGAATTGTGACCTAGCATTAGTATAATATTAATACTGATATTTAATGAAAGTTTCCAGTTGTTGTTTTTCTGAATACACACTCATTATAAGTATTACAGGTATCACTTATGAATATCAGGATATATTTTTCCTCATTCAAAGAAGAGATTACTCCAAGATAAGTGTTGCGAGTGCTGTTTTATTCAAAGCTGTTGGAAATGCATCTTTTATGAAGGGTTGCTTACAGTTTGACTTCCAGTTCGTGATAACTGCTCACTGAATATTTTTTTTTTTCTTGTAATTTGTGGCCTTCTGTGAAAGGTTTCTCAGGTTGATTATCTCCATAACTGTTGTTATAAAGTCCTATATAAGTGAACGAATGTGTTTAATACTACATTGGTGTTAAAAATAAAGACATGTGAAAATTATGTGAACACAAAGCAAGAACCTCTGTGGATTGGAATTGATTGACTTTTCTAGAACTTGGAGATGGAGCATGTGATCAAGGAATTATAAAGCCGAACCTGTGTTGTTGTTTGACTGGATGAGACTTATAGCTGACAGAACCTGAGGGCCTGAACTTCTATATATATTGTGAAATGGAGCTGTATATTATGTTTCAACTGTAGCCAAATCCTTATGATGAACATACCACTACAACTAATAATGGTTTCAGATGTGATAAAACAATGGCTGGATTAGGAAATAAGCCAGCCTATAAAGTGCAAGGCTCTAAGGCACTGATTTTATCTTGATCTAATTTGCTTTGTGACTATTTACTTGGGTAGATCTCCCAAACAAAGTCTGAGAAGCTCCTATACCAGGCAGTGTGAATAACAGCTATATTAAATAAGTTATTGTTCAGCCACTGTACAGCTGCTGGAAAGGGAAAAAGCTGAGTTTGAGATTTGTCAAGAAGACTTGATACTTTTCCTTTTTAGATAGTTTTCAGAGATGTCCTATTGCTTATGACCAGTCTGGAAATTTGTCAAGTCTGGACAGGCACTAGATATTGTTAGAAAAAAGTACTTCAGTTGTATCACTGAACAATTTTCCAGCACTTCATTAGGATGGTTACACTTTTGAGGCCACACTTGACAGAAAGGCTGTTGAATAGTTATTCGAAGTGACTCTGAAAAGCACTGGCGATATAGGCCCTGCTCTTGATAGAACCCCACATGTGAAGATGCAAATTCTGTGCTGGTTCTAAGTTTTTACTCAAGGCTTACCCTGGCAGGGAATCAAAGTGCTTTGTTGGTATCATAATTATTAATTAGAATTTTTAGTGATACATTTGTATGGAAGGAAGAACTCTTCTCATCTTTTGAAAACTTTCTCCATTTTCATTCAACATTATCAGTCATTGGTTCTTTTTTTGCATACTCAGGATTGAGTCGAGTATCCCTGTGTGCAACTTACAAAAAAGAAAATAATGTTAATTTCATTTTCATCCTCATGTAAAGTACACATCATCCCTCATTTATATCTCAGAGAGCTTATCATATTACTTTCAGGATTTCATGGTGATTATTTATAACCTCCCACTTTCATAAGTAGATGCTTTAAATGTTTAACCTAATTTTTCTTTCACTTACTGCTTAATATTTTGTGTTTTAAGGTTTTCAGGCTTACCCTCAAAGAAGTCATATATTGCTTTTTCAGATTATTTCAGTGACTCTGTAAATAATGTGAAAGGGTATTTTGCATGCGTCTGTATGACTGGGAGGATGTTCTAGAAAATACAGAATCGTAAGCGAGTCGTGTGATGGTTGGGATGAGGTGGCTTTTCCATGCATTATAACCTTCATGATAAGTAAATTTGATATGATGCATACTACATGCCTTTTTGATGCTTGTCCAATTCTATTTTAATATTATAATGATTAACTCTTTCATATACCAAAAAAATCGAGTGCAGTGTAAATAATTCTTAAGGGTGAGATGGTATTTACATATACTTTTTTTTTTTTAGTTCGATTGATATGTGATCCAGCACATGGAAGGAATGCAAATCTTTTTCACTTTTATGCAGTTTTCAGGGCATTGTGCATTATATGTGAATATGATCTGTCTGTTTGATTAGTTTTTTCCCTTTTTTCTTTTTATGATGGAAGAGAATTTAAAATAGACGTGTGAAGTGACTGTTGGCTATATCCACCTTTATAGCTGATGAGGGATGATAATAACAAGAATAGAATGGAATTAACTAGAGATGATGTTTATTTTGTTTAAGTAAAGATGCATCCCAAGAATATCTACAGTGGTTATACTGAGAGATGTCTGTTCCTCAAAAGGTCTTAGCTTTTGATTGAATGATATAAGATGACAGGTGTCTGACTGATTATTGCTGAAGTTTATAAAGTTAAAAATTAAGAATAAAAATTGTGATAAGGAATGAAGCCACCCTCCCAACTCTCACAGGTTACACAAAATATTTGGTGAATTATTGCATTCTGACAGTATTGAGCATTATCTTATCTCATACTATAAAAGAAATTCCCTTAATCCTATTCATTATCCAGCTTTTATTAACTTGCAGTCTATAATAAGCGTGTGTGCGTATGCATGTCGTGTGTGGGTGTGTTTGTGTGCTGTGAATGAATCTTTCTTACTTGATTTAGGTTTTGGTATATTGTTCAAAAATCCCAAGTGACAATGCTGATAATGGTATGAGATTTGTTCATAGCTGTAAATATACTAACAATCCTGCTTGTAATGATGATATTGATTAATTATATGAAATGGAATGACAATGCTTAAATGATTATAATTTGAATGAGGATGATGGTGATAGTGATAATGATTATGGATTTGTTAATGATCCAACTAATTATGATGATGCTTATGAATATTTTAATGATGCTGATAATAATGATGATAAACCCATGCCTACTCCAACCATTTATTCCTTATGGCAGGCACTGAGGCAAGCCTTAAAAAGATGTAAGGCAAGTGATTGACGCTGCCCAGTGTCTAGCATACACGGCACTTTACCTCACGCCGTCTTGGAAAGTGTCCGTTTCTATAGCCAATCTGTGCATCATGTCGTGCCTTGAGTGTCCGTGTGCGTGTTCCCGCATAGCCAGTCTGGCTGTGTCCCCGGAGGTGTGCGTAGAGCGTGTCGGTCACACTGACACCGCGTATCAACCGCTAGTAAGAGTCTCAAACAGTGTTTTCCTGCCTGACTAGGGTTTCTACATTTATTTCTTTATATATATAAATGTATACATCATAGTGTGTGTGTATATATATATATATATATATATATATATATATATATATATATATATATATATATATATATATATATGTGTATATATATATGTATACACACACACACACACACACATATATACACATGTGTGAGTGTGTGTGAGTGTGTGTGAGTGTGTGTGAGTGTGTGTGAGTGTGTGTGAGTGTGTGTGAGTGTGTGTGAGTGTGTGTGAGTGTGTGTGAGTGTGTGTGAGTGTGTGTGAGTGTGTGTGAGTGTGTGTGTGTGAGTGTGTGTGTGTGTGTGTGTGTGTGTGTGTGTGTGTGTGTGTGTGTGTGTGTGTGTGTGTGTGTGTGTGTGTGTGTGTGTGTGTGTGTGTGTGTGTGTATTTATGATATATGTGTATATATATGTATAATATATCTGCATATGTATATGTATATATATTTATATATATGTGTATATATATGTATATATACATATACATATATTTGTATATATACATACACACACACCACACACTCTTAACACACACACTTAACACACACACTCCACACACATTCTACACACACACCACACACACACCACACACACACCACACACACACACATCACACACACACCACACACACACCACACACACTCCACACACACTCCACACACACACCACACACACACCACACACACACTCCACACACACACACCACACACACACCACACACACACCACACACACACACCACACACACACACATCACACACACATCACACACACATCACACACACATCACACACACACACACACACACACACACACACCACACACACTCCACACACACTCCACACACACT